GCTTAAATTACAAATTAGGCTGTGTGCTGTTGTCTTGATCTCAAGAGAGATGTATATAGTAATTTCTTGAGAGTATGAGCATTGGGTAAGAGTACCTTTTTGTCTGTTACATTTGGTTCAGTTGATCTCCTGCTCAAGTGCTCTAATCTATATGCTTATGTTTATTCAACAATGTTAATTTTTGTATGTTGCAAATCTGCAGTTACATTTTGTGCCTCCAAAAAGTCTGATAAGTTGTGGCTATTGTAATTTAGAAATCTATTAGGTCACTGCTAATTTTTTTTAATAACTTCTTTTGATAGTGATTACATCAGAAACTACTTCCCCTGGCATAGTGCCACGCCAGGAACAAACATTATTTAACTCACAATCTAGATGAATCGGAGATCTGCAAACCTATTTGCTTTCCTTTTTACTAGGGAACAACACAATGCACTGGTATCTAATACCTAGTACAATTTGCATTGTTGCATATGTAAGTGTCCTGCAAAATAGAATGGCTGAAAATACTAAAATCAGCTAGAAACATAACAATTTAATCTGTTGTCCTTGTTTGTGTAGCTTTGCAGCTGATGGAAAGTGATATTGTTGTTGCAATTGGTCCACAATCTTCTGGAATAGCTCATGTCATCTCCCATGTTGTTAATGAGCTTCATGTCCCTCTTCTCTCATTTGGAGCTACAGATCCCACTCTTTCTTCCCTGCAGTACCCATATTTCCTCCGTACTACACACAGCGACTACTTCCAGATGCATGCAATTGGCTGATGTAGTTGACTATTATACCTGGAGAGAGGTAATAGCAATATTTGTTGATGATGATTATGGAAGAAGTGGGATTTCTGTTTGGGTATGCCCTTGCCAAGAAAACGTGCCAAGATTTCTTATAAGGCCGCCTTCAGCCCTGGAGACCCCAAAATAAGATCAAGGACTTACTAGTTGAGGTCAACCTGATGGAGTCACGAGTTTTGTAGTTTCATGTTACTCCTGACACCGGTTTAAGTATCTTTTCTGCTGCCAAGGCTCTTAATATGATGGTGGTGGCTATGTTTGGATTGCTACAGATTGGCTTCCTTCATACTTAGATTCAATGGAAGCAGTTGATCCTGACACAATGAATATCTTGCAAGGGGTTATTGCTCTCCGCCATTACACCCCGGATACTTATCTCAAAAAGAGATTTAGGTCTAGGTGGAACAACCTAAAATATAAGAGAAGTGCAGGTCCTGCAGGTTTCAATTCTTATGCACTTTATGCTTATGATTCTGTTTGGTTGGCTGCACATGCCCTTGACTTTTTCTCAAAGAAGGTGGAAATTTATCTTTCTCTTATGACCCAAATTTGCATGATACAAATGGCAGCATGCTGCACCTAGAATCACTTCGTGTGTTTAATGGAGGTGAGCAACTTCTGCAGACACTTCTTAGGATGAACTTCACTGGTCTGAGCGGTCAGATTCACTATACTCCGGATAAACATTTAGTTCATCCAGCATATGATGTTCTTAATGTTGTTGGAACCGGAACTCGAAGAATTGGTTATTGGTCAAATTATTCTCATCTCTCAATTGTTCCCCCAGAGAGCATGTATACAAAGCCTCCCAATATCTCTACTGGCAGCCAACATCTTTACAGTGTAATATGGCCTGGTGAAAATACTGTAAGACCAAGGGGATGGGTATTCCCTAACAATGGGCAGCCACTGCAAATTGCTGTACCCAACCGAGTAGGCTATAAAGTGTTTGTGTCGAAAGACAACAGTCCTCAGGGTGTAAAAGGATACTGCATTGATGTCTTTGAAGCTGCAATAAGCTTGCTTCCATATGCTGTTCCTCACAGATATATGTTAGTTGGAGATGGTAAAAGAAATCCCATCTATAATGACCTCATTAACCAGGTTGCCCAAAATGTGAGTATCAGCTTTAATTTTGTTTTATTGTTAACTGGTGTAGCTTAGCTGGTAGTCCTTTGGATTATGTTATCTGATTTTGTGGGATGGTTTGGGGCTTTCATTTCCCTGCTCAATATTGAGGTGCTAGTAACTATTTTTGACTTGCTCCTTTCCTATTTAGAAATATGATGCAGCTGTTGGAGATATTACCATTGTACGAACAGGACAAAAATTGTAGATTTTACACAGCCTTTTATTGGAATCTGGACTTGTTGTTGTTGCACCAGTCAAAGAGGAAAAGTCCAAATCCTTGGGCATTCCTCAAGCCATTTACTAAAGAAATGTGGCTTGTTACTGCTGCATTCTTTCTTCTTGTGGGATTTGTTAGTGTGGATTCTTGAGCACCGGTTAAATCATGAATTTCGTGGTCCTCCCAGCCAACAACTTATTGACAATTTTTTGGTTAGTCCATTTAATATATGGCCTGCTATATATTTAATTGGAAGATAATGGGTGCATTTGTCATCCCTGACACGTAGATCTAACCTATTAAAGTACAATGTCATGTTGCAAAAACCATTGGTGGCTATAGAGCATAATCAAGCTGAAATCTTTATGAGAGTAAGCGTTTTTAACTCTGCATTGTGTGTCATGGTTCCATACATGTTAGCTGGGCTGGAACCCGAGCTCTGGTTCATAATGGAAATTTGCATGGTCAGTGCAATTAGAGATCTTTCTTATTAACTCACTAGAAGAATATAGTAGTAATTATATTGATTTTTTTTTCCTAATTTCAGGTTTAGTTCTCGACAATGTTTTTCTCGCACAGTAAGTTAAAATCATTGTAGTCCCTTATGGCTTCTGTTTATGTTATTATATGTATGCTTCAGGAAATCCAGGCTAGAACTCATAAAATCTTTCATTGCTTTGACTTGGTACAGGGGAAAACACCGTGAGCACTTTGGGACGTTGGTGCTGATCATATGGCTATTTGTAGTTCTGATTATCAATTCAAGCTATACTGCTAGTTTGACATCGATACTTACTGTGCAACAGCTGACATCTGGGGATTCATGGGATTGATAGCTTGATCTCAAGTACTGAGCCTATTGGAATCCAAGATGGTTCGTTTTCATTAACTATTTGATCGACGAGCTTAATATAGCAGAATCTAGGTTAGTTAAGTTAAAAAATCCTGAAGATTATCTCAGAGCCCTTACTCTTGGACCGAATAAGGGTGGTGTAGCTGCTATTGTTGATGAGCTTCCTTATGTTGAGCTCTTCTTATCCAACACCAATTGTTTATACAGGACAGTGGGGCAAGAATTTACAAAGAGCGGATGGGGCTTTGTAAGTATCAACATTGAACCTTCTAGGCTGATGTATGGCATTGCAACTCTAATTTTCTTTTCCTACATATGATCATGGTGGTGATTTTTTTCCTGGTTTCAGGCTTTCCAAAGGGACTCCCCACTCGCAGCTGATCTGTCGACTGCTATCCTTCAACTCTCCGAAAATGGTGATCTCCAAAAGATCCATGATAAGTGGCTGACACACAGCGATTGCTCAATGCAAATCAATCAAATCGATGAAAACCAACTCTCCCTAAGCAGCTTTTGGGGCCTATTCCTCATTTGTGGCACTGCATGCGTCTTGGCTCTCATTGTGTTCTGCTATAGAGTCTGTACTCAGTACCGCAGATATAGCCCCGAAGACGTAGAAGGGGAGGTCGAGCAGATCGAACCATCTACGTCATCAAGGCGCTCCTCCATCAGCTCAACAAGTAAGAAAATAATGGACTTTATAGATAGGAAAGAAGCAGAGATCAAGGAGAAACTGAAGAGAAAGAACAGTAATGATAACAAACAACAGACCAAGCACAGCTCAGATGGACAAGCAAGTTCACCTGCATAAACAGAAACATTTTGTTTTGGTCTCCATTGGATCTTCCTTTCTCTGATCTGTTGCATATAGAATCTATACAAATACAAATTCATGTATCCAATGTATTTGCTCCACTGCTTTCAAGTGGAGACATAGGTCCCTAGGTTTGTATTGTTCTCAATTTTCGTACCCTTTTTTTTGTAGGATTAAAAGAACAAAAATGAGAAATTGTTAGCTTGTCCTAAGCCAATCTGTATCATACAACGTCATACTCGTGTTGGAATAAAATAAAAAAAGAAATGTAATGTTCATTTCATTAGAGGAGGGGAAGGGAGCTTTCGAAATCATAGCCACGTATCAGTTTTCGCTCTAACATTTCTTTACGGATCGGTTATGTAAGTAGATTTATTTACGTTGAATTTAGTGAATTTATTAATTTTTTTTTTTTTTTGTCTCTCAACGAAATTGAATTCAGAAAACAAAAAATGAATACAATATCTTTACCACGGGAATCAACCATTTGTCGATTTGATAGTTTTTTTTTTATCCAACCCAAATTACATTTCATTATAATAAAAACAATATTTTTTTTATTCAGATTAAAAATATAATCGATCAAATTTAAATTGATATAATATTAAATTTTAGCTCGATTTAAAATTTAAAATTTAAAATTTAAAATTTAATTTAAATTTGATCTAATTTTATTTTTTTAATTTAAATTTGATTCAAGATAAACATCAAATTATTTAAGTTCATTAGATTAAGTTCGATTAATGTATAAAAATAAATTTAATTTTTATATTTGATAAAAATTTAATTATTTGTGTTTGAACTTAAACTCGAATTTAAATTCGAAATTTTTTATTAATTAAAATAATTAAAATATTAAATTTTGATTATATTCACGAACTATTCGAATCGAATATAAAAATATTTAAATTCAACTTAATTGATAAATTGATCGACTTGAACTAAATAAAAAAATAATTAAATCAAATTTAAATTTTATTTAACTCGAATTCAAATAATTTACTAATATTAATATATCATTTATACTTTTATTTTACACATGGAATGATTCGAAGAAAGTGGCCGCTTTGTAAATAAGAAAAAGTGACAAGGACAAAAGTAACAATTCACAAAACCTTTGCATCAGCTTTAAAGATTATCGGGGGACAGGGGACAGGGGCAGTGAGCACAAATCTAAAGCAGCGTGCAGTCGACCATTTCAAACCTCGTAAACATTTCAGAAACTGAGATCCAAAATCCCCATTTTTCTTCTTCCTAGAAACAGAGCCCAATTTGAAAGAAATGGGAATGCTATGCAAGGTGGTTGATACGCTGCTGTTAGTGGCGTTTGTGGTGATGTTGTTAGCGGGGCCTTTAATCGACGCGCAATTGGTTTTGCCAGAGACCACCTTCCCGGACTTGCTCATCCATCTGAAGCAACGATACGCCGAGGAATACCAAGATTATTTGGTGGTGGAAAAGCCCCATTTCTTTGTGGCCCTGGTCTGGCTGGAGCTGGTTTTCCAGTGGCCTCTCGTTTTACTTAACATTTATGGAATTCTGGCATCCAAGCCTTGGTTCAACACCACTTGCCTCATCTATGGTGCCTCTGTCATTACCGCCATGGTAAATTTCAAAATCAAAATTTTAATCTTTTTTGTCACTTAAATATTTTATGCTTAATTTGTTAATTTTGTGCCAAATTCAGACTGCTTTATTGGGGGAGCTCGTGGGATCTGGGAAGGGGTCAGATAAATTGTTGAAGATGTACTCCCCTTTCATGGCGCTTGGTGTTTTGGCCTTGCTGCGAGGGCTGGTTCCACAATCTGGCGAGGCTCAAACCATTGGCCAAGGACCTGCACTAGCTAGGAAGAAGAAGGCTTGAGTTGAGATTAATACAAAACCATCTTCTGGAATTTTTGTAATCCTTGTCATATTTTTAATGTTTTTGTTTGTTTATTATTTCCTGATTATGAGTTCTAATGATTATTTCCTGATTAGTGCATTTAATTTTAAGAACAATCGTTAGAAGAAAATAGTACATTCCAAAACAATGGTCAATAGCTCAATGGTACATGTATTACATAAGAAAAGGCATTTCATTCATAATTTTTTTACAATAATATTATAATAATTCAATCATATTAAAGAACTATATAGGAGTTTATCACTTATAAATATGAGTTTTGATATATTTTATATAATTATGAATTATAATTGATTAATTTTATTACGATAATTAAGAATTGTGTGCAAAACTTACAACACTTTAACAAGTTAAGAATAAAAGTTTATTCGAGTTGAATCCAATTAATACAGTAAAAAGTTTGAGTTCGATTTGAAATAAAAATTAAATGATTCGAGCTTGTTCGATTAAATTTGTTTAATAAAAATAAATTTAATTTTTATATTTAATTTAAAGTTTGATTTTGTGTTCGAATTTGAGTTTGAGCTCGAATTTGAACTCGAATTGATATATATATATATATATATATGGGTAAAATAATAATTTTTCAAATAAAATGATAAATATATTTTAAAAATTTAAGTTTGCGAACTACTTAAGTCGAACATTAAAATATTCAAATACGACTCATTCAATAAGTTGAGTTATTCAAATTTGAACTTCACTCAATAATAAATAAATTAAATTTGAGTTTTGATCGAATTAAATCTGAGTAATTTAGGAGAGCAGTGTATAGTTACATACTTAGTTAAAGGGATTAATGAATAGAGCAAAACAAAAGGAAAAACATGAAATTAATGTTTAAGATAGTTCTCTTTATGGCAATAGGGAATTATACATCAAACAACATAAAATCATGTTCCTTTTCTTATAGTAGGCATACAACAAAAAAAAACCCTATGACATCTTTGCATTTATGTGTTGAGAACATTAATATGCATTCATATGATCCCAACATCTGATCCACAGACCACACATATCAAGGATGGGATTAGGAATCTTCTTTCATACTAAATATTTTCATGGTTCTTATAAATGTATATTTAAAGTAAATTGCCTTGTTAGTCCATTATTTTTTGTACTATTTTATTTTTATTTGTAAGTTAAAAATTTTTATTTGTTTCATTTACAATCTTTTAAATTTATTTCAAATTATGTGTATATGTTCACCTAAGTGTCATATAGTCAATTTTTACAGATATAATAATACTCGTATTGCATATTTTATTTATACATATATATTTAATAATATTATTTTTTATCTCATTAAATTAGTTTCAATAAATTAAATTTCCTTCTAAAATATATTTTTACAAACAAAATTATTATAAATGCTAAAATTTTAAAATGATGCATTTTAAAATACTTCCATTTCGAATTTTTTTAAAATTTTAAATTTCTCCATAGAAATGCATTCAAAGGGAAGAAGGAAAAAAAAGAACTAAAATCACATTACTTGTACAAAACTCTAAAACCCTAAACATAAAGCTAAAACCATTTTACAACAAAGCTTTCTATAAAGTTCTTTGCATTCACTTTGGTTTTTTTTTTTAATAATTTATTGGGGAAGTCAATTCCCGAACCTCTAACTCTTGAACGCTTGATGAATTTTTGCTTGGGCCAGTTAATTTTCTTGGTCCCCAAACAAAGGTCAACATGTCAAAGAGGATCATGCAAGGTGCGCTCTTGACTTCACCCCATCTTCTATGGTTCCAGAATTCATCATCACCATTGTTCTTAAATTTAATTGCCTTCCCTTTTTTCCTCCTTCTGTTAGTCACTGCATCAAACAAAATAGGGGCAATGTTAGATGATCAATATCTTGAAATCTATTTGAGAAATAGATATATGAAATAATCTCCAATTCATGGAAAAAAATGCTTAGGAATGGCTAAAATGATTCAATGAAAAAGAAAGACGTGTTAACCTCGCACAATACTGTTGTCTTTGATTCAACGATAAATGCATGTATTTTCGTTCAGATTCAAATTTCTTTACTCCAAATTAAGAAAAAAAGGGGTTAAACTTCTTTTGAAGTGTCAAAATCCGAAATAAAATATGTTATATTTGACAGCTTAGAAAATAGTGATCATAAATCGTGTATTTCAAAGATGACTCAAACAAGAGGTTATTAGCTGGACTCGAACTCAAAACCATTCACCTCAAGGAGAACGATCCTATCAATTGAGCCAACCTCTCGTTGGTGGGTGTAAAAACTTCAAAGTTTGTGTTAACATACCTGACTAGCTACATAAAGCTGTGGCAGTTCATGCGTTTTCAAATGAGAGAGAAGCCTTTATCCTTTCAACGGTGCATGTGATCAAATTGTTAACTGTTGCAACTGATCCAAGAGAAAGTTTTGCGGTAGGAACAGAGTCAACCAAAATCTGAAATGCAACAGTTAGAAGAGATCCACCAGACCCGTTATCAGCAAAGCCTCCTACACTCGATGTAGTTCCATCGGGCAGAATAGCAAAACCTGAGGAAGAAGGGCCACATAGTCCGGGTCACCTCCAATTAGGACTACATTCATTGCAGCAATATCAACAGGAGCATAGATTACAAAAGAGGCCGTCGGATCAGTGCAACTCTCTTGTAAAATTAGCATGTTGCTTTGGCTTGAATTTGTACTCTGTACAAATTTATTTCATAAACACCCACAATTTTGATAAATCAACAAAATCACGTTGGTTTGCGCTACTTACATTTACTTGAAGTAGTGAAACACAATTGCCTGTATCCCGACCATTAACAATATGTGCCATTTCTTGGACAACTCCACCATTTGAAAGAATATCCCACTGTATTTAGGAAAGACCAAGTTGTAGGATGATTATTTCATTTGACAATATTAAACACTAAAGACATCACAAAAGTCTAGAGGCTTTGATCAATTGATAAGTTAAATTTCAGCCATCATAATACAGTTGTTTAAAAGCTTTGACATACCTCACTTCGAGAAGTTTCATCTCGGAGGAAATCGAATACCTTCTTTGGTGAAACAGGAAGCCAAAAGGAAGTTGCAGCACTTAGCACAATCCCAGGAGGCCTACCTGGATCGTCTACGCTCTTTCTGGTCATGACCCTTACATCATCAGCCCCAGTTCCGGATAATGTTGTCCATGTGTGAGCTGTGGAGGCACCTACTCCAGCACAGAAACTTATTACCATTCGCTCAGCTAACTTCAGCATACTCTTTTTCCCATCTTGATTTGTTATGACTGACCAAATTTCAAAATATTTCAACATCAGAATTGGAGAAGATTAACAACTGGAATTTAATATTTGTAGTACTATCATTACCCCCAACATCAACAGTGGGAATGTTAGCAGCCATGACACTTGCAAGCCTCTCACACTGTCGATCTAAAGTAGCTAGCCATCGTCTTGCTCCGAAAGCCTGCCGAACTTACCAGCTGCTTGTACAGACTGTGAACACCTCTATCATCCACTTCTACATGCTCAACCCACGTAACCTATGTTGCATAAAGCCATTAGTTGAGCTAGAACGATAGGATTGGAAATGCCATATAGTAAAAAGCACATATTATTACTATGATCATTTGAATATAATTGTTTACCTTTGAGTACCCGTTTGGCATTTCTTGAATTAAACATCCAGATGGCCTTATCCTGCATCTCACTGTTGGATTAGGGCGTAAATTATCCAAGGAAACATCAACCACAGCCCAAGTTCCCTCTGCATGCTGTTTGCAATATCTTACATAATAACTCTCACGAGTGGGAACAAGAGGTGAAGGAACTTGAAATTCAGCTGTCATCTGAGAAATTAAAATAATACAGAAAATGTCACAAAAATATTAAATCTACCAACACAGAATAAAGTAGGAAGGATATATTAAACAATTTCTCAAAGGTAATATGGAATTCCATGTTACCACTTGAAGGGCTCCATTATAATTCCCTGCTATTCCAGTTGATAGAACATCCAAAGTCGAAGCTTTTGAAACTATTCCCGAAAACAAACTTGACCATTGGTGCTGAATTTCAAAACAGAAACCCAAAAATTAGCTCTTGCCTTGCTTGCTGACTTGTTCAATTTTCAGGGTATTGATGATGGATAATATTATAAAAGCTTACCACATCCATAAGAATCTCGACAAGGTTAATGTGGTTCATGATTACAACAGCAGTTTCTCTTGAAGCTTCGCTTTTGAAGCCCGCAGGTTTTGGCCCAATACCTCTAGGAAACGTTCTAATGTACTCTTCCTCATTAAGCATCGAGGTTGTGGCATCAAGTGTGGTCATCCATAAGGGTTCACCCATCTGAGCCATTCTAACTAGTTCCTCCATAGCTGCCACTGCAAGCTCAATAATGATTGGCTTATCAGTCTCAGTAGGTGTATTGATCGACCTAGGGAGTTCCCCAGCACCATACATCTCTCCATTGCCAGGTTGTGCACCGAAATCAAGTGGTCGAGGAGGCATAGGAGAAGAAAGAAGAGGATAGTTCACCACTGGCCTGCCAACATACTTTGCAGCTATTGCTGATATACGATCAATCTGCATGGTGATCAAAAACAATAATTACCAATAATAGAACCCTTTAAAAGTTATTAGTTAGAATTTTTATAAAGGAAAAAAGATTATACTCTTATCTACATAAACCAATAGCAATTAAAGTTGGAATAATTATTTGATACCTCTTCTCTTAGTCGAGCATTTTCAAGTCTGAGATGGTGTTCATCAAAGGACAATTGTCCTAGAGCAGTAGGACCTCCACAATTTGGGCATGAAGCTGTGCTAAGAGCTTCCCTGTACTTCACATTATCAGCCCTTAGCTTTTCGTTCTCAGCTCGAAGCTCTGTGTTCTCGTGGCGCTCATGCTGGTTCTATAGATGAAAAGCATTGAAATTTAAATAGAAATGAGCCAAGCTGCTATCATGGTCCAGTTCCAGTGAGCTCTTTCAGGTTCTTAGATATTGGTAAATTCAAACCAAAAGGCTTAAGTTAAGGGCAAATGAAACGTTTGTTATACCTTCATTTGGGTGCGCTTGTTTTGGAACCAAAACTTCACTTGCAATGGCTCTAACCCTAACTCACGCCCAAGTTCCTTCC